CCCCGCCCCATTCTCCCGCTTTCCAACACCCCTCTGTCAGAACATTATAGCTTACTTATTTGTGTAGGCTATAGTGGGGTATCCCATAGGGGGTACAACCCAGCTAGGGTTTCCTATTTGTACTCACTTCGTTCATAGTTCACACATTCTCTCGTTCAATTCTTCACATGGAATCAGAGCAGGTTCCCCTGTGGGAACTGTGCTTCGGGCCCACCACCTAGAACTTTTTTTTCTGCCCTGGCGCCCGCCCTAGTGCCCGCCCTAGCGCCCGCCCTAGCGCCCCGCCTTTCGAGCCGCCCGTTCGCGCCGCCCGTTAGCGCCGCCCGTTAGCGCCGCCCGTGCGGCTGCCCCCTTCGCGCCGCCCTTTGCGCAGCCCGTAGCGCCGCCCGTGCGGCCGCCCGTTAGCGCCGCCGGTGCGGCCGCCCGTAGCGCCCCCCGTGAGCCGCCGCCCGTAGCGCCGCCCGTGAGCCGCCGCCTGTCGCCACCCTTTAGCGCCGCCCGTGAGCGCCGCCGTGACGCAGCCGCCCGTGAACCGCCGCCCGTGACGCCGCCGCCTGTGACGCCGCCGCCCGTTTCCCGTCGCCCCCCCCCCCCCCCGTGACGCCGCCGCCCGTTCCCGCCGCCCGCCCGTCACGCCGCCTGCCCGTGAGCCGGCGCTGCCCGCGAACCGCCCACCCGTGGGCCTTCAGCCCGCCCGTGAGCTGCCGACGCCGCCAGTGAGCAGCCGACGCCGCCGCCGCCACCCGTGAGCCGCCGACGCCGCCGACGCCGCCCGTGAGCCGCGATGCCGCTGCCGCTGCCGTCGCCCGTGAGCCGCCGACGCCGCCGCCGCCGCCCGTGAGCCGCCGTCGCCCGTGAGCCGCCGACGCCACCGCCGCCGCCCGTGAGCCGCCCTGGCCGCCCGCCCAGCCGCCCGTGAGCTCCCCTGCGCGCCGTCCAGCCGCCCGTGAGCCGCCACCGAGCCGCCCAGCCGCCCGTGCCGCCGCCCGAGCCGCCTGAGCCGCCCGAGGCCGCCCGGGCCGCCCGCGCCGCCCTAGCCACCCGAGCCGCCCGAGCCGCCCTAGTCGCCCGAGCCGCCCGTGCCGCCCAAGCCGCCCGAGCCGCCCGAGCTGCCCGAGCCGCCAGAGGAGCTGCTCTCCTGCTCCTGTCGGGCTACTGCTGCTCCTGGGCTGTGTACCTGCGCCGCTGACCTACCCGACTCTTCCTGCCCGGTGAGACTGTCAGCTGCTGTCATGGCCACCCCCAATGTCCTAGCTTTTGACACTGAGGGTAGAGCCATTTGACTTTGCAGTCTGGATTGAGGACCTGCAGCTGTACTTACTGTGTGATGCGGTCGATGAGGTCTCTCTCTTTGACTTTCTCTCTGGCGCTGTCCCTGCCCCTCCTCCTGATGCTGATTCCGCCGTTTCGATCCAAGTGGGCGACCCGCGATGCTGCTGCACGTCTTGCTGTGCGTCGCCACCTCCCTTCCTCCGAGCGTGCCCACTTTAGTCAGTGCAAGACCGCTCAGGCCTTGTACGACGCTGTAGTTGCACGCTACTCCTCCCCTTCCTCCGCTACGCTGAGCCGCCTCATGCTACCTTTCCTCTTCCCTGACCTCGCTGCCTTTCCCACTGTCGCTGACCTCATTACCCACCTCCGCGCTAGTGACGCTCGCTACCGCGCTGCCCTTCCTGCTGAGTTCCGCGCCGCCAACCCTCCTCCCATCTACATCACTCTCTACTTTCTTGTCACCCGTCTCCCTGAGTCCCTCCGTGTCGTTAGGGACCAGTTTCTCTCTGTCTGTCCCACCACCCTCACTGTCGACCTCCTTGAGGAGTCCCTGCTAGCGGCTGAGAAGAGCATAGTCGCTGTAGGGGGCCTCTCGGGGTGACCCTCGCACCCCCATCTTTGAGGGGTGTTCTCCCTTCCCCCCTGCTGCCCTCTGTCGCCTCTGCCGCTGCGGACGACCTCACTGGTTTTGAGTCGGTCGGTGCGGCGTCTGCCCCCAGCGGTAGACGCCGCTCTGGCAAGGGCAAGGGGGCAAGGGAGCGGGTGGAGCTAGAGTGGGCAAGTGGGCGGAGGAGGTGGGGGTGGCGGGGGGAGTGGGGGTGGCGGTGGAGGTGGTGGCGGGAGTGGAGGTACTGGTGGGAGGCGGTGGAGGCGGAGGGTGGCGGCGGGGGCGGTAGCGGAGGAGGCGGGGGGCGAGGGTACCAGTGGGGGCGGTGGCGGTGGAGACGTAGGCGGTGGTGGAGGCGGGAGTGGCGGTGGCGGCGAGGGTCGGAGTGTCTCGTCCCAGCGCAGCAGCTCTGGGGGTGGTCAGCGCCAGCAGCAACAGCAGCAGCAGCAGCAGCCGCAGCAACGCTCTCGCACCGTCCCCGCCCCTCAGCAGCTCCGTGAGTGGTACTTGCAGCGTCAGCGTGGTGGTGCGTTTGGTCCCTGCCCCTACGTTCTTCGCACCGGCGACCGTGCGGGGGAGAGGTGTGGAGGCACCCACACGGCCCGCCGCTGCTTTGGCCGCCTGACCGACGCTTGGCGTCAAGCAGTTTCCGGAGGCCGCTGAGATCCCCCGCTGGGGGGAGCTGTCTAGGGCTGGTGTAGCCATTTATGATCTTGACTTTGATGCTATTCTTTCTGCTATGTATGTTGTGACTGGTAGTGATGAGGATGACTGTTACCGGTGTTTCCCGCCCGACCCGGGCATTGGTACTGCTGCGTCAGGTACTAGTGAGGCTGCTGCTCTAGGTGCCAGTGCGTCTGAGCTCTCAGGTACTGGTGAGTCTGCCCTCTCAGTTACTGTGTCGGCTTCGGCCTCTCACACCTTCACACTTGACTCTGGAGCGTCTCGCTCCTTCTTTCGGGACCGCACTACTCTCACGCCGCTGAGTCGGCCGGTTGCGGTGTCCCTGGCTGACCCCTCTGGGGGGCCTGTCCTGTCTCGCTTCTCCACGGTACTTCCGTGTCCGGCGGCCCCCTCTGGCACCCTGTCTGGTCTCTACCTCCCCTCGTTCTCGACGAACCTGGTGAGTGGTGCTGACCTACAGGATGCGGGTGTCCACCAGTTCACTCCTGCTCGTCAGCGGGTGACCCACTGCACGGAGGCTAGCACGGGACGTCACCTGGCTACGTTTACACGTCGGCCAGGGTCGAGCCTGTACACACTGACCACCTGCTTCTCCTCCAGGTACTGAGTCTGGTACGGTCCCTTCGTCTTGTCAGGTGTTTGCAGCAGCGTCCAGGTCTGGTCCTGAGTCTTCCCCCTGTTCGTGTCGTCGTCTGTCTCACGAGACCCTCCTCTGGCACCACCGCCTTGGCCACCCCTCTCTGCTTCGGCTCAGAGGCATGGCCTCCGTCTTCTTGTGTCTGGTCTCCCCCGGTGCCTACCTCCCCTTCCTCAGGGCCCTGCCCTGCCTGTGTCCCCTATGTCGAGGGGCGCCAGCGTGCTGCCCCTCACTCCTCCCAGTTTCCTCCGACAGAGGCCCCGCTGCAGACACTTCACATGGACGTGTGGGGCCGGCCCGCGTCCTTGGACAGGGTCACGAGCGCTACTTCCTGCTAGTTGTTGACGACTACTCGCGTTACACCACAGTCTTCCCCTTGCGCAGCAAGGGTGAGGTTACTGAGGTGCTGATCGACTGGATCCGCGCAGCTCGTCTTCAGCTCAGGCAGAGCTTTGGCTCGGACTTTCCTGTGTTGCGTCTGCACTCTGACAGAGGCGGAGAGTTCTCCTGTGGCCTTCTTCGTGCCTACTGTTGAGCGCGAGGCATCCGCCAGTCCTTCACGCTTCCGGACTCCCCCACAGCAAAATGGGATTGCTGAGCGCCGCATTGGCATGGTCTATGGACGTCGCCCGTACGTCCATGATGCATGCGGCTGCCCCCCATTTTCTGTGGCCGTTTGCGGTCAGGTACGCAGCGCATCAGATCAACCTCCACCCCAGGGTCTCCAGGCCGGAGACCTCCCCAGCCCTGCTGTGGACGGGGAAGGTTGGCGATTGCGTCGGCGTTCCGGGTCTGGGGATCTCGGGCGTTTGTCCGCGACTTGTCTGCGGACAAGCTGTCCCCTCGCGCTGCTCCCTGCGTCTTCCTGGGGTTCCCCCCCGACGCCCCTGGGTGGCAGTTCTACCACCCCACCTCTCGACGTGTTCTGTCCTCCCAGGACGTCACGTTCGACGAGTCGGTACCCTACTACCGCCTCTTCCCCTACCGCACTCCGTCCCTCCCCCCGCCCCCGCTTTTCCTGGTACCAGGTCCCCCCCCCGGTAGACCCCCTCCCCCCTCAGGTCCTGCCCCGTCAGGTGTGTCCCAGGTAGACGCGGTCGAGCCTGTCGAGGTCACTGGTGACTCTGGTGCTGCTGCGGGAGCTGAGCCTGGGGGTGCGGAGTCTGGGGGTGCTGAGCCTGGGGGTGCGGAGTCTGGGGGTGCGGAGTCTGGGGGTGCTGAGTCTGGGGGTGCTGAGCCTGGGGGTGCTGAGCGTGGGGGGTGCTGAGCCTGGAGGTGCTGTGCCTGGGGGTGCTGTGCCTGGGACTGCTGTGCCTGGGAGTGCTGAGCCTGGGGGTGCTTCGTCTCGCCGGGAGCCACTCTCCCCACAGGAGCTGAGTGAGTGGTTTGCCAGGCGCTGGAGGCGTGCTGCTAGTGCTGGTGGTTCTTCGCTGCTGAGGGCACTGCTGGCCGCGCGTCCCGGCGGTGCTCGTCCTGTGGGTGCTGGAGCTGTTGGGTCTGCGAGTTCTCTTGGAGCTGGTGCTGCTGAGGGTGTTGGCGCTGAGCCTGCTGCTGGCGGTCCGACTGACAGTGCTCCTGGTGCTGCTGCTGGAGGTTCTGGAGCTTCTGGTGGTGCTGCTGGAGGTGCTACTGGAGTGGGTGCTCCTGCCGAGGGTGCTGGTGCTGTTCCTGCTGTTTCTAGAGTCGCCGCGCGGGCCCCGACCGTACTTCGTTCCGCTCCTGCAGCAGGTTCTTGGTCTTCCACTTTCTCCTCCTCCCTTAGAGGGTCCGCAGCCTGTCCGGTCACAGCCACAGCTACAGCCTGCCTCCCCTTTGCCTGCTCCTTCTCCCTACGCTGGTCCGACTGGAGGTCTTACTGAGCGTCGTGAGCCTGCGTCTCGTCCTGCGTCGCCTGTCCGTCCAGAGCGCGCTAGTGGTCGCGGTTCGCGTCAGCGTCCTCCTCCTGTCCCTGGCACGCACCGGATGTCTCTGCGTCCGTCCACTGCTCCTCTGCGTGCCCCTTTGCCTTCTCCTCCTGCTTCCTCTCTTCCTGCTCTTGCCGACCCGGAGTCGGACTCTCTTCGTGCTGCCAGTCCTACTGTCACGCGTCTCCTTGCTACTGACTGTCACTGACCCTTCCTTCGAGTCGTCTGCTGCGTCTGCCCTTGTCACTGAGCTTGTCGACTTTGCTGCGCGCTGTCGTCTAGACTACGCTGCCAGTCTTGTCGCTGAGTCTGAGTCTGCCTGTCCTCCGTCCGTCGGGGGTGAGTGTGCCCTCGGCACGGACGTCCTTGAGGACAGGCAGGAGGAGTTCCAGTGTCTGGCCGCCGCTTCACCCCATCTCGCGTCTGTACTGCTAGCCCCTGAGGGAGACCCGGATGCACCAGACATCCCGACTCCGCGCTCTTACGCGGAGGCGATAGAGGGTCCCTACTCCTCTCAGTGGCAGGCAGCTATGGACGCAGAGATGGCTTCCTGGAAGTCCACAGGCACCTACGTCGACGCTGTCCCCCCTCCTGGGGCGAACATCGTCAGTGGCATGTGGATTTTCAGGGTGAAGCGGCCGCCGGGTTCTCCGCCTGTCTTCAAGGCGCGTTACGTGGCTCGTGGCTTCAGTCAGCGGCAGGGGGTTGACTACTTTCAGACCTTCTCCCCCACCCGAAGATGACCACTCTTCGGGTTCTGCTTGCACGTTGCTGCTCACCGTGACTACGAGCTGCACTCTCTCGACTTCAGCACAGCTTTCTTGCAGGGCAGTCTGCACGAGGAGATCTGGCTGCGCCGCCCACCTGGCTTCACTGGGTCTTTCCCTCCTGGTACCCAGTGGAGTCTCCGGCGTCCAGTCTACGGTCTCCGCCAGGCGCCACGTGAGTGGCACGACACACTGAGGACTACGCTCGCGGCACTTGGGTTTGCTCCGTCTACTGCCGACCCGTCGCTGTTTTCTGCGCACCGACACCTCTCTGCCGCCGTTCTACATCCTCGTGTACGTCGACGACTTGGTCTTTGCCACAGCTGACACTGCTGGACTCGCCCTACGTGAAGTCCGAGCTGCAGAAGAGACACACGTGCACTGACCTGGGTGAATCTGCGCAGCTACCTTGGCTTGCAGATCACCCGGGACAGAGCACGCCGCACCATTACCTTGACTCAGTCACACATGGTGCAGCAGGTCCTTCAGCGCTTTGGCTTCACGTACTCCTCGCCTCAGGCCACTCCTCTGCCTACTCGCCACTCGCTCTCAGCTCTGCCTTCGGATGAGTCCGTAGAGTCGAGTGGCCCGTATGCAGAGCTTGTTGGCTGCCTCATGTACCTGATGACCTGCACTCGACCTGACCTTGCATACCCTCTTAGCATTCTCGCACGCTATGTTGCTCCCTGGGAGACACCGACCAGAGCACATGGCTGCAGCGAAGAGGGTGTTGCGCTACTTGTGCAGTACGTCGGGCATGGGGCTAGTGCTTGGAGGGCGCAGTCCTGTGGTCCTCACTGGGCACGCAGACGCTTCTTGGGCTGACGACCAGGCTACGCAGCGGTCGTCACAGGGTTACACCTTCAGCCTTGGTTCCGGCTCTGTTTCGTGGCGGGCTACCCGCTCGTCTTCTGTTCTCGGCTCCAGTTGTGAGGCTGAGATCTACGCTGGGGCTATGGCTGCACAGGAGTTACGCTGGCTCACCTACCTGCTGACCGACCTTGGAGAGCAGCCTCGTTCTCCTCCAGTCCTGTACGTAGACAACAAGGCCATGCTGGCCTTGTGTCGAGAGCAGAGACTGGAGCACAGGACAAAGCACATTGCTCTCCGCTACTTTCTTGCTCGTGAGCTACAGCAGCGTGGACAGTTGCGACTTGCCGTACGTGGCCTCTGAGGCCAACACTGCTGATGTGTTCACCAAGGCACTTGCGCCTTGTGATCATCAGCGTTGCTGCACGCAGCTGGGTCTTGTGTCTGTCTTGCCTCACTTGCTCACTTCTTGACCTTCCTTGTACCGTCACATATATATAGTCTTGCTCTTGCTTGCTTGACTCTTGTATATCTCTATATATATGATCTTGCAGGTGAACTGGCCTTGTGGCCTTGAACTTGTGCTCGGAATGTGTGGTGACTTTGTGATCCACCCTGAGCTTTGCTTTGCTTTGCTTGACTGGTCTTGTGACCCCCTTGTTCTCCCCCACTTTGCCTATGGGGGTGTGTCAGAACATTATAGCTTACATATTTGTGTAGGCTATAGTGGGGTATCCCATAGGGGGTACAACCCAGCTACGGTTTCCTATTTGTACTCACTTCGTTCATAGTTCACACATTCTCTCGTTCACTTTCTTCACACCCTCCCCATTCTCCCGCTTTCCATCACCCCCGCCCTATTCTCCCGCTTTCCATCACCCCGCCCTATTCTCCCGCTTTCCATCACCCCGCCCCATTCTCCCTCCTTCCATCACCCCCCCCCATTCTCCCGCTTTCCATCACCTCGCCCATTCTCCCGCTTTCCATCACCCCGCCCCGTTTTCCCTCTTTCCATCACCCCGCCCAATTCTCCCGCTTTCCATCACCCCGCCCCATTCTCCCGCTTTCCATCACCCCGCCCAATTCTCCCGCTTTCCATCACCCCGCCCCATTCCCCTGCTTTCCATCACCCCGCCCCATTCTCCCGCTTTCCATCACCCCGCCCCGTTCTCACGCTTTCCATCACCCCGCCCAATTCTCCAGCTTTCCATCAGCCCGCCCCATTCTCCTGCTTTCCATCACCCTGCCCCATTCTCCCTCCTTCCATCACCCCGCCCAATTCTGCGCTTCCCATAACCCCAGCCTCATCTCCCGCTTTCCATCACCCCGCCACATTCTCCCAATTTCCTATCACCCCGCCCCATTCTCCCTCCTTCCATCACCCCGCCCCATTCTCCCTCCTTCCATCACCCCGCCCCATTCTCCCGCTTTCCATCTCCCCGCCCCATTCTCCCGCTTTCCATCACCCTGCCCCATTCTCCCGCTTTTCCATCACCCCGCCCCATTCTTCCGCTTCCCATCATCCCGCCCCCATTCCCCCGCTTTCCATCACCCTCCCCATTCTCCCACTTTCCATCACCCCGCCCCATTCTTCTGCTTTCCATCACCCCGCCCTGTTCTCGCGCTTTCCATCACCCCACACCATTCACCCGTTTTCCATCACCCGCCCCATCTCCCGCTTTCCATCACCCCGCCCCATTCTCCCGCTCTCCATCAACCCGCCCCATTCTCCCGCTTTTCATCACCCCGCCCCATTCTCCCGCTTTCCAACACCCCTCCCCATTCTCCCGCTTCCATCACACCGCCCCATTCTCCCGCTCTTCCATCACCCCGCCCCATTGTCCCGCTTTCCATCACTCCGCCCCATTCTCTCGCTTTCCATCACCCCACCCCTTCTCCCCGCTTTCCATCACCCCGGCCCATTCTCCCTCCTTCCATCACCCTGCCTCATTATCCCTCCTCCATCACCCCCGCCCCCATGCTCCCGCTTTCCATCACCCCCGCCCCATTCTCCCGCTTTCCATCACCCAGCCCCATTCTCCGCTTTTCCATCACCCCGCCCCATTTTCCCGCTTTCCATCACCCCGCCCCGTTCTCCGCTTTCCATCACCCTTCCCCAATCCCCCGCTTTCCATCACCCCGCCCCATTCTCCCTCCTTCCATCACCCCGCCCAATTTCTCCGCTCTCTCACCCATTCTCCCGCTTTCCATCACCCGCCCCATTTCTCCGCTTCCATCACCCCCGCCCCATTCTTCCCGCTTTCCATCACCCCGCCCCAATCTCCCGCTTTCCATCACCCTGCCCCAATCTTCCGCTTTTCCATCACCCCGCCCCATTCTCCCTCTTTCCATCACCCCGCCCCATTCTCCCGCTTTCCATCACCCCGCCCCATTCTCCCGTTTCCATCACCCGCCCCATTCTCCCGCTTTCCATCACCCCGCCCCATTCTCCGCTTCCATCACCCCGCCCCATTCTCCCGCTTTCCATCACCCGCCCCATTCTCAGCTTTCCATCACCCCGCCCCATTCTCCCTCCTTCCATCACCCCGCCCCATTCTCCCGCTTTCTATCACCCCGCCCCATTCTCCTCCCTTCCATCACCCCGCCCCATTCTCCCTCCTTCCATCACCCCGCCCCATTCTCCCGCTTTCCATCACCCCGCCCCATTCTCCCGCTTTCCATCACCCCGCCACATTCTCCCGCTTTCCATCACCCCGCCCCATTCTCCTTCCTTCCATCACCCCGCCCCATTCTCCCTCCTTCCATCACCCCGCCCCATCCTCCCGCTTTCCATCAGCCGCCCCATTCTCCCGCTTTCCATCACCCCGCCCCATTCTCCCGCTTTCCATCACCCGCCCCATTCTCCCGCTTTCCATCACCCCTTCCCATTCTCCCGCTTTCCATCACCTCGCCCCCTCCCTCCTTCCACCACCCCGCCCCATTCTCCCTCTTCCATCACCCTGCCCCATTCTCCCGTTTTTCCATCACCCCGCCCCATTCTCCCGCTTTCCATCAACCCGCCCCCTTTCTCCCGCCTTTCCATCTCCCCGCCCCCATTCTCCCGCTTTCCATCACCTAGCCCCATTCTCCCGCTTCCATCACCCCGCCCCATCTTCGCGCTTTCCATCACCCTGCCCCAATCTCCCGCTTTCCATCACCCTGCCCCAATCTTCCGCTTTCCATCACCCCGCCCCATTCTCCCTCATTCCATCACCCCGCCCCATTCTCCCGCTTTCCATCACCCCGCCCCATTCTCCCGCTTCCATCACCCCGCCCCATTCTCCCGCTTTCCATCACCCCGCCCCATTCTCCCGCTTTCCATCACCCCGCCCCATTCTCCCTCCTTCCATCACCCCGCCCCATTCTCCCGCTTTCCATCATCCCGCCCCATTCTCCCTCCTTCCATCACCCCGCCCCATTCTCCCTCCTTCCATCACCCTGCCCCATTCTCCGCTTTCCATCACCCGCCCCATTCTCCGCTTTCCATCACCCTGCCCCAATCTCCGCTTTCCATCACCCCGCCCCATTCTCCCTCTTTCCATCACCCCGCCCCATTCTCCCGCTTTCCATCACCCCGCCCCATTCTCCCGGTTCCATCACCCTGCCCCATTCTCCCGCTTTCCATCACCCCGCCCCATTCTCCCGCTTTCCATCACCCCGCCCCATTCTCCGCTTTCCATCACCCCGCCCCATTCTCCAGCTTTCCATCACCCCGCCCCATTCTCCCTCCTTCCATCACCCCGCCCCATTCTCCCCGCTTTCTATCACCCCGCCCCATTTCCCTCCTTCCATCACCCCGCCCCATTCTCCCTCCTTCCATCACCCCGCCCCATTCTCCCGCTTTCCATCACCCCGCCCCATTCTCCCGCTTCCCATAACCCCACCCCATTCTCCCGCTTTCCATCACCCCGCCACATTCTCCCGCTTTCCATCACCCCGCCCCATTCTCCTTCCTTCCATCACCCCGCCCCATTCTCCCTCCTTCCATCACCGTGCCCCATTCTCCCGCTTTCCATCAGCCCGCCCCATTCTCCCGCTTTCCATCAGCCCGCCCCATTCTCCGCTTTCCATCACCCCGCCCCATTCTCCCGCTTTCCATCACCCCTTCCCATTCTCCCGCTTTCCATCACCTCGCCCCCTTCCCTCCTTCCACCACCCCGCCCCATTCTCCCTCCTCCATCACCCTGCCCCATTCTCCCGTTTTCCATCAGCCCGCCCCATTCTCCCGCTTTCCATCAACCCGCCCCTTTCTCCCGCTTT